CACAGCTGACGCCCATTTGACCAATCAGCGCAGAGCAGACTCTTGGAAAGGAGATTTGTTTGAGACTTTAGGTGAAGTGAAAACTATATTATGCAGAAAATTTATGTCATTGGATTGATTTAGACCTATTTTAGCATCAAAACAATATCTTAGACAAAACAAAAACAAGTCTATATAGTTAGTTCTTTTTTTTTTTAAATCTATTTTTTTTCCATTCTTAACTTCTTTGTACCTTTTTTCGGTTCATATGCCTTTTCAGTTGCATATGTGTGGTTTGGGGATAGTGTGTGGGGCAGAATGAACTTTGCGGTTAAATGCAGGGTTAAAGTCAAAGGTCAAGGGTCATTCATCATGACCTGCTTAAACAGCAGTGGAGATTAGGTAGTCTGCATTTCCTGTCCGCTGCTTTAGGCATCATTCTCAGACAGAATACAAGACAGACATGCTCACTTTGCACATTTACAACATTAGCGTAAGAATGTCTGACTAAAGTCACACTGGGTCAAAAAATACATTGCTGAGGAGGAAAAACACAAATCAGTGGAATTTGCCGCATTTTTATACTCAAAAGCATTGGCTAAACGGATAAAGGGGGGTACATTTAAGAAAGAGGGTAGGTGCTTTTCCAAGGCATAGTGCAGTGCGGTATGGTTTGGTGTGGCTTTATTTTGCAGTTTTCCACTGCCTACGGTACCTACCCTTGGTACCTTTTTTTTGTTTTGGTACCACACATGCAGTACCATTGCCATGACTTTAATCATCACTACAAGCAATATTGGATTTGTAACACAAGACACCAAACCCACTATATTTAAACAATGATTTGCAGCCGTAGCCCAAGAACATTGTTCAGTCAGTAGAATCAATTGGCTTGTGTTGTGGGTTGGTTTGTGTTTGCACAGTTGTTTATGCTGAATTTGTCACGTTAAACAGTTGATGATGTCATATCACGTCAGGCTTTCGAAGTGAAAAAATAGGCTGCTATTTTTATCATTATGTATCAAAATAAAGGTTAGTTTGTTGGTCCTTATTTTGAATCGTTTTCTTTCCAGAAGTGAACCGCTCCAGAGTTTGTTTTCAGGCAAAAAGAAAAAACAAACAAACCATCTTATTCAGTCTTAGACAAAAGTAGTTGGAAATGTTTGCAGTCAGAATTCCACTGCACACTATATCTCTATTTTTTATTGCTTTCAGAAAAGCAATGTTGTTCGTGTGTGAAACGAATGTTACTTTCAGGACCCATTTGAAATGTTTTAGAAACTTGGGTGGCCATATATCCCTTTAGTAAGTCCTCTACAACCTGCACTTACTCCCAATCCGATCAAGCACATTTCCATCCAGGCATCTACAGGGAGGAGTGCGGTTCAGATATATATATATATTCATTTTGTTTGTATGGGAAAAGATGGATGTTAGATTGTATATCAGGTGAAATGAGAGAGAAATTCAGATCTGGATTTAAAAGAGTAGATTGCAATAGTTGGCTGACTTTCCGGCATTTCACTAGCAATAGAATGAAGATGACTAAAACAGACTCCAGCCTCATTAAACCTGGAGTGTTTGAGCTTCTTCCATCCCTGTCCTCCATCATTCCACCTCCTATTAACCTATTGGTGTGGTTAAGACCCTTGTGTTGAGGTGGCCAGAGGCTTCGACCTGAATATTTTGAGGTTGACTATTGCAGTACCCACACGTTTACACCTCACTGCCGTTCTGAGGAAGTCAAGCTCTCCAATAGACTTTCCATATGTGCTAGATTGAATTATTTTGTCATCATCTCTGCTTCTCAGATAAAAGGTGAGAGCTCAGGTCTTCAGCGTGTGTGTGCATCTGTCAGCTGGAGTTAGGATGCGCGTTTCTGTCCATTGTGTTCGAGGTGTGTTTTTTGTCTCAATCCTAAAAGCCGCTGAATCTGGTTTACAGCAGGCTCTTTGCCAGAGGCATCTCGTTCCTAAAGGCAAGACCTGCTGGAAAGCAAAGCCAGCGATCGACCTAAGTGAAACAGGAATCAAAGCCACAGTCTCTGAACACTCATTAGGCTGCTGGAGCTGTTCTGGAAAATTCCTGCATTTGAGTCTCTGAGTTTGCCTGACTGCAAGCATCCCTCCTGGAGCCATTTATACTCTTCCTTCCTATTAATGCTTTGTGCAATTCAGAAAGTGAGGAAAGAGATTGTTCTTTTGCCTCTGGTTTGATGAAAGACCAAATCAAACTGGCCTTGTGTGAAGGTTAAAGTTTAGTATGGGCTACTTTTTGAAATTCTAGACTTATCAGAAAAAGTCTTTCACCACCGAAGTAATCAGACGTCTAATAATGTAATATTGTCCGAGCGAGTGTCAGACACTGCTCTTTTTGCTATGGTTTATGTTGGTTTGGTTCGGTTATACATACTCGTTTAATGAGATGTCAGAGATGAATGGATGGTTATAGCTTTAGCAGAGGCCAGAGAGGAAGCAACAGACTGCTAGCTCACACACACACACACACACACAGTCAACATTTCCAACCTTTCTCAGGTACAGGAGGACGGGCTTCTGTGCAGAGATGAATATTTGCTCATGTTACGGTTGACCATGTTTGTTATATAAGATTTTGCACTTTAAATGTTTTGTAAACAAAGTGCTGATTTTAAAAAACTATTTTGTTATTCTGCATTTGCTACCCGTTACATTTAGTTAGGTTTGAGTCTCGGCATGGCGATGACAATAGAGGTAGGATCGAAGTGCAGCTTAATAACAATTTATTAAAGAAAGTATTTGTGCAGCTAAACGTAGACAAAAATAGGAAAAATCAAGTATTAAACAGTGCAATCCAAAATCATAGTCAAAACAGACATAAGATCATAAATAAGGCATCGATCCAAAAGTACAAACAAAACAAACAACAAACTTAGACTAAGGCAAAAACACAGAGACAGGAACCAGACGTAACGGGAAACAACAAAGGCCCAATCCAGACTGATGTGTGTAGGGTGTGTATATAGTCTGGATAATCAATATTAACGAGAATCAGCTGTACAGTACTTGTGTGATCAGTGGAGAATGGCGACCGGTGTGTGTGTAACAGCATGCAGTGATTTGTAGTTCATGGAGGAGTTTGTAGTTCACCAGCGATCTTCCAAGAAGTGATCGCTGGTGATCATGACTCATTTGGTGGTGCTTTTACGTGGGTCTGTATATTTTTATGTATTAAAATAAGTAGTGATAAGAAATGGGTATTGTTAAAATAAATAACTGTAACTGCTTTACTGCTTAATATTGTTGTGGAAACCAAGATTCTTTTCAATATTTATTTCAACCTAAACTGTTTTTAAATGTTGTTAAGGTTATTGCACACTGAATCCACACTGAGATTTTTGACCGTAATTTTTGCACGTTAAAAAGTAAATTGGATCTTACGTTGTGTGAATCGTGACAACACATTGTTTCTGAAACTTTTAATTGTCATGAAAAATGTAAACTGTGTTTTTTTTTTTCACATTTCGCGTCCGAAAAGCACTTTGAGTTGTGTTTTGACAGTTCAGAACCATCGTACAAGCAAAAAGCTAAATACAGAATGCCATCATTTAAGCTATAGATAATTTTATGAAAACACAGTGCATAAAATAAAGAAAAAATGTGGCGGACATGTTAGAATCCCTATGTGTGTGTGTGTCCAAACATTTGACGTACTGCTCATAGACATTATAATAAAAATCATGGTCCGCTTTCAGTCCATTGCATCGACACGTCAATGCGGCTGCCATCTATTACAATGTCTATATGTACTGCCAGTCTGTGTTCCAGATTTGTTTACGTAGATCAATGTGTGATGTATATCATGCAGTGTATCAAAATTCCATTGATATCCTGAAATAAACTTTGCATTGGGGATAATCCAGCACAGCTCTTTGATATTGAGCTGAACTCTTCCTTTTTCTCAATGCAGTATTGGATGAACACAATATGCAGCCTATTCCTCTTTCGTTTTCTACTTTGGAGAAGACAGAGAGGAAAACAAAGTATCACTGCTTGAATTGACTCTGTTTTTTGTAATTAATATTAATTAATATGCATCTGACTAAGTGTGAGGTTTGTTTACTTGACAAATTTTTGGCATATGAATATGTAAAAAACGCTAATGAACATTTCGGATTTCAGTGTGCAAAAACCTTTACTCTCATTTTTTATTAATTTATTAAATCCTTGTTTAATAAGAGCATTAGTTTATTTTAAATAAAGGTTTGAACAGAAAATCTAATTGGCCTGCTAAATTTAATCACATTTGTTCACGTCTGCATAATTTTTGCCTTAAATTTCTTTTTGACTTCATATTATTTTTCTTTTTAGTTAAGTTTTTTGTTTGTTTTTCTTTCTTTTATCTAAATGTAGCAAAAGTTCACTTTTCATGTATTTTTTTACAGTATTGTTTTGTAAAACTTTTACAGACTTGTCATCAATCAAGACCAAATATTAGCAATCAGTTTAATTACCCTTGTGATGTTCTGTCAGTAGTTAATTAGTCTCAATTCTCATTAGATTTACAAACTTACTACACAATGGTAAAAGGCCATAATACACTTAAAGCACATTATGATAATGGCACTGCATCCCATTAAAATCTCATATATTGCAGGTTTATCAAGCCCACCTTCATCAGGAGAAGAGTAAAACCATTCTGCATATTGTATTTACCTTTCCCGTAATCAGATGTGGCTCTGTGCACCTCTGAGTGGAATGAAATGAAAGGCTCACACATTCTCCCTGGCTCTCTGGGGTTTCTCTTTGACTCTGTTCAGGGATGGCAGGTGATGTAAGATGCGAGGCTGGTCGAATGAGAAACGGCTCAGCGAATCTTTGATGGAGTCTGCTGGAGGCCCAAATAACTTCCAGCTGTAGTTGCCTTTGAGGCTTTATGATCCAGCCACTCGTTCCCTTTCCTTTTCTTTCTCCTGCAACACGTTTTTCTGCATCATATCATGTTCCTTCTGCACCTCTCAGTTCATTTTACTCTCTTCACAGATTTGCTGGTCGGTGCATTTGGAGTGAGTAAAGTCGTGGCCTACAGGTGAGAAATTTTACACCTTGAATTCACTAGAAAGTTGACAATGTTTTTTATAGTTGATTATGCATATAGTATATACACTACCTAACAAAAGTCTTGTTGACGTTCTTAGTTGCAAGAGCAACAAATAATAGCTTGACTTCTAATTGATCATTTGGAATAAACAAAAACTGCAAAAGATCTATTGGAACCCGCATGGACCCTAGATTCTTACAGAAATCCGTCGAGTTTGGTAAAGGAAAAATCATAGTTTGGCATTGCATTCAGTATGGTGACATGGGAGAGATCTGCAGAGTGGATGGCAACATCAACAACCTGAGGTATCCAAACATTTAAGCTGCCCATTGCATTACAAACCACAGGAGAGTGCAAATTCTTTAGCAGTAAAGTGCTGCTTTTTATTCTTCAGCCTCCACATCAAAGTTCCTGAAAGCAAAGAAGCTCAAGGTGCTGCAGGATTGGCCAGCCCAGTCACCAGAAATTAACATTATTGAGCATGTCTGGGGTAAGATTGAGAAAGCATTGAAGATGAATCCAAAGAATCTTGATGAATTGGGAATCCTGCAGGAACGCTTTCTTTGCCATTCCAGATGACTTTATTGATAAGTAATTTGAGTTATTGCAGAGATGTATGGATGCAGTCCTCCAAGTTCATGGGAGTCATACACAATATTAATTCTTTTTCCACTGCACCATGACTTTATTTTCTATAAAGTACATTATTTCTGTTAAATGACAAGACTTTTGTCTAAGCAAAGTCAGACTTTACTGCCCTAATGAAATAATTAAAAATCAAGGCATGATCATATTTTATTTTGGTAAAATAAGAGTAATCTAGAGGCCTTTGCTTTTAATATAAGCCACTTCTGATACCAAATGATCAACCAGAAGTCAAGTTATTATTTGTTGTTCCTAAAACTTGGATAGGTGACAAGACTTGTTATAGAACAAATAATAAGGTCTGACTGATTTCTTAAATACATGGCCAGCTGAGGAACTAAACCAGACACAGGTGAACATAATCAACCATAAAACTGAGTAACAAACAAATGAGAAATAAAAGTATTTTAATGTATTAATATATTTTATGTATATTTCTATAAAGAGTATTTGAATAAATCTTAATATATTTATTAATGTTTTATAATGTAATTAATATAATAATAATAACAATATTAATAATAATGAATGTATTTTATTATTAAATTTTGAATGATTATACATTTTTAATTAATTTATTGAGCGAGTTGTTTTTTTGATTTTATGTAGAATGGAATGTGCCAATGAACTGTTTACAGCAAGTTCAGGAATATACATTAGGAAGTTAAATGTTGTTTTTAAAGGTGCTGTTATTCTTTTTTGCCATTTGATGGTGATCTAAATACCAGGTGTACATATATTATTATACTATATACAAAATATTATGCTTGTATGTAGCAGCACTCCCTTATTCTGTTTTAAACGCACTCACAGTTCCCTGCTATACTCACATGTTTTCTCCATTAAAGCCGAACTGCGCAGAAAACACCTGTGTTTGAGGTTTAGCTGGAAGGAAAGCTGATACACAAGAAAATGTTTTTCTCTTTTCTGTGATACAATAGAAACACATTTTTGAATTGCATAACAGAAAATATTGAAAAGTCTGGCCTCATAATGCGTTCGCAAAGGATTCCTTACTGTAGTGGACAAGAGTACAGTCAGCGAACATTACCAACAGACTTGTGGCATGTCTAGTGTGAGTAGCCAAGACTTCGAATTGGGTGTTTTGAGCTCAGGTTTCCCTCAGAAATGTTTCATAACAGTGCCTGAAAGCCACCAGAAACACACAGACACATTAACATGTCCCAGCACACATTGACACACACACACACACACAAACGGCGTCTTGGTGTCAGTGGTAAAGTGATTAGCTCTAGTGGGCTCTGGTGTATTTATGTAAGCTAACATTTCCACTGTTAATCCAGTTCGAGTGCTAATCTCAACAGACTGAAAGTGAGAGCAGAGACTGACCTCATGTGAAGTTCTCATTTACTCAGTCTGTCTGATGTTTTATTGAAATGAGACTGAATGTTTAGGTTTTGTTTGTTAAAGGTTCTGTTGGTTAAGTTTTACCATGCATTGAATGTTGAGTTTGTTTGACAGATATAAGTAGCATGGTTTCTATTACAGATTTGTGCACATCTTTTCTTTTTTCTTTTCTTTTTTTATTTTTTTTTTACTTTTTTAAAAATGTTGATTAAAAATATGGCTATTACATTAATCAATGTTGTGTGGCTAAAACAAAAAAAAATCCTAAAGAATCATGAAAATGGATATAGGTAGATATTTATTCACAAGAGACATACTGTAGCTTTGTCATTAATGACAAAGATTAATGTCAAACATTAATGACGAGACCCTTATACATATGACACAAGGTATAATGTGTTTCTGGGAGGTTGTAGTACCTAATATCAAAAACTTCACATTTCTGCATGAGTGGATGAAAATTTTTTTTAAAGTACAATGCTGTAGTGCCTTCTTGATCATGACCAGTGTTGGGGATTACAATTAATGTGAGTTACGTAATAATAATACTTTTTAAAGTAACGAGTAAAGTAATGCATTACTTTTAAAAAATTAGGTAATAATATTTGAGTTACTTTTTAAAAAAGGTAACGAGATTTACTTTTTTATTTAATTAATTAGTTTTTAAAAAGTAAATTGCTAAACTAAAATTGAGATGAGAGTATGCATTCATTATTTTGAACACATAGAAGAAAAGGAATTGTACTTGAAAATGGTTGATACTTCACTAATTAGACAAAGTACAACAAAAGCATCACACATTGCTTTAAACTTTTATTAATCTGTTTGCACGGAATGTAGAGCTCTGGGCTCAGGAAATTCTCAGAAGATAGCATTATAATACATTATTATTATTCTATGTGTTTTTTTAAAAAAAAAAAACAAATAAAGGTGTGAGTTATACAGTGTCTTGTTAATTGCAGATTATTTATTATTTAAAAAACAAAAAGAAGAAAAAAAACCCTGCATGTTCTGAAAGAGATCAAGCCTCAGCCTGGTAAGAAAAAGTAATGCAAAAGTTACTCAAAAGTAATGTAATGCATTACTAACCATAAGTAACTACTGTAACTAACACAACTATTTACTTTTTAGGAGACTAACTCATTACTGTAATGCATTATTTCAAAAGTAACTTTCCCCAAGACTGATCATGACCAAGGGAGACCGTCTTTGCAAAAAGAAAGTTTTAATGTATGTATGTTTCTATTGCAGTTTTGCAATAAATTGGACTTTTTTGCAAAATGTTTCCATTGAAATAACAATTTGAACTGTAATGGAAACACAACTACTAAAATAGGCATCCTGAGAAATTGCACTAATTAGTTTTTTAGCTAACGAGAAACATTTTATGCTTGTCATTTATTTGCATTTGTTTGCTGATATGAGAGATTTTATAGAGATAACATGCTCCAGAACTAAGCAAAATGCAGAAAATGGTTCAACATGATATTAGAAACGTTATGTTTTTTACTGTACACAAAATACTTAGTACAATAATATTGTCACATAAGAGAACAGAATGTTTATTAACAGAAACAAAGAAGAAAATATGAAACTGCTAGATAATACAGGACAAAGGGAAGTAGCAAACTGAGGGCTAAAATACATGGCAAAATAAGGAACCAAATCAAACACCCGTAAACACAATCAATTAACCAAGGAATAATCAGAGAAACAAACTACTGTAATAGCAAGAACAAAGGGAATAATAATAATTAAACACAGAACCAAAAAACAGAATTATAGACAACAAATTATACAAAATTCCATTTTAGGTTTAAAGTTGGTCACACTTTATTTTAATGGTCCATTTGTTGAATTGAAGTTACATTACATTTACATGCCAACTGATTCTCATTAGATTATAAGTAGACTGTTAGGTCGGGGTTAGGGCTTGTATTAGAGTAAGTTGACGTATTTGCAAAGTTTCCTTTAGTTAGTTAAATGCATAGACTGTAAAAGATATAGATGTAGTATCCGTGACGTCACCCATAGGTTTCTGACCACTGCAAAAAAAGCTACAAGTAGGCGCGGCCAACAGTTGCCATTTTGTTCGCATGTTATCGCACCTACGGTGGGATACCAAACAAGGGCAAAGCAGTGGAGAGTAAGCAGAGCTACAGACACCTGCTGGCCTATTGCTTGGACCTGACCTAACGCTTAATACATTATTACCTGTGACTCGTTTGTGTTCTGACCACATGTGCTTGGTTGTATACTATATCAATAAAGTGTTTCGACTTTTAAAAACACAGTTGTAACATACTAAGCCACTAAGCATTGGTCTTATGACATTTTTTAACAGGAGGAAAACGCGAATTACGTCCAAACACTTTAAATATAGTCTGTGTTAATAAATGCAAGGCTATTTATGAAATGCAGGCATTACACTGTATGGCAACACTTCAGATGACTGTTCTAGAGCCTACAGCTAAACAATCTGACAGATTCTAGAGTGTATTACAGCTCTAAAAAATATATATAAATGATAAATGATCTTAAATAAAACAAATACATTTATGGAGATGGTATAAAAGTATATAATTTTACCTGGGAAACAGAGGCAACTTGAACGGTTTGTAAACACAATTAAGTGCACACATCATGCCATATCATCTGATAATTGTAGGATATAATCCCAAAAGGCAATTGACTGTGTAAAGAAACATTAACCCAAACAAAAATTCAATGTATATGCCAGGCTCAGCGGCTAATTAGCCAGAATCAGCTGAGGTGACGAGACAGCAAGCAGCGAGACCTAGCTGTCACTCAAGTGGCCACGCCCTTAATTATGCAGACTTAATATAACTTAATAAAAACTAAATGGATGAGTTATAAAAAAATTCACCCCCTCACAGTTGTCATGAAGGTTAATCATAGCTATATGCACCAAAGACATCTTTTGTACCAGGCTGTAAACGTGTTATTATCAGCTGTAAATATGGCCAATTTCCCATTGCTGTCAGAAATCACCTGGACTTCCTTGAGCCAGCCCCCCAAGATGAGTCGATGAATTGCTGTTTTAGTTATTTCCGTATTGGCTTCCCGAGGGAGAGCGGGAGGTTGGCGCTTGGTTAAACGTCTGTTGAAGTATCAACAGATATTAAGCAGACAGTCTACTAATACTCAAATGACCATCAAAATAAGGTGCTACATTAAAATTAATGTAAGTTTTATATATATATATATATATATATATATATATATATATATATATATATATATATATATATATATATATATATATAATTTATTTATTTATTTATTTTTTTATCCAATAAATTAGATCAGTATTTTAAATACATTTTTGTAATCCACTCTCCACAATGTTAGGTCAAGACCAGTGGTGACCGTGGATGCTCAGCTGATTTTAAGACCCAGAATCCTTAACCCAGAGGACAAGTCTTGCCGAATGCCCAATTCTGATATCATGGTAACCTGGTGAGTACCTGGTAACTACATTTATCCAATGCTTGTTACTAAAACATACAAGCTTAGCTTCTGACACAAAGTTTGACTCTTGCTCTTTAAAAAAAAGCTTTTGATTGATGTCCTCTAGAAGTGTTCAGTTGATGGAGCAGATATGTTGATCTTTAGTCCTGGTTAAACCAAATCAGTCTGAGCCAGAGAGAGCTATGGCTGACTGGGTGGTTTAAAAGCCATGTGGGCTATAGTACCACATTACAGCAGTTTTTTTCTTCTCTGTGGTAAAAGTAAGTGTTTCTGGAAGTCTCAATGCATTCTTTCAAACCACACAAACACACACTCACACAAACCCTGCATTCTTAACCCAAATGTGGATGGACATTGTGTCCCACAAGCAGTTTTTGGGGCCCTTGACTGTAAACATAGCTGATCTGTTTGGCTGTTTGGGGTGCATGCGCCTGTGTGTTGGGGTTGGCGTGGGGAAGAAAGCTCTGGAGGTTTTGGAGAGACAAACGAAAAGAACTAAAGTGTGGAATTCTACAATAACAAAAGAGTAGCTTAGTAAAATAAATGGACAAACTGTGGTTGGAGCGGGAGACAGTGAGAAACACAGATGAACACAGGGAGAAACAGAACAAGACAGAGAAGAGAACATTTAAAAGATTCAGAGAATGTTAAAAACACTATCATGGTTAAGGTTTAAAACCTCTGCTACTCTGGAGTTTTTCCCCTTTGTATATATATTCTTGGTAACAGCCACAGAGAGACCATAAATGTAATATAATAATAATAATAATAATAATAATAATAATAATAATAATAATAATAATAATAATAATAATAATAATAATAATAATAATATTAAAAAAGGAAATGCTTTTCTTATTTTTTTTAATATAATGCATTTTTTATAAAATGTCATTTAAATAGAATTCCATTCATTAATTTTTTTTTTTTTTTTTTTTGGCTTAGTCCCTTTATTTTTCAGGGGTCGACAAAGTGGAATGAACTGCCTACTTATCCAGTATACGTTTTACACAGCGGATGCCCTTCCAGCTGCAACCTAGTACTTGGAAGCACACATACACTCTTACATTCACGCACATACACTACGGATAATTTAGCTTATTCAATTCACTTGTACTGCAGGTCTTTGGACTGTGGGGGAAACCGGAGCACCCGGAGGAAACCCACGCCAACACCGGGAGAACATACAAACTCCACACAAAAATGCCAAATGACCAAGCCGAAGCTCAAACCAGAGACCATTTTGCTGTGAGGCAACAGCATTACCCACTGCGCAACCGTGCCGCCCAACGCCCATATTATATTATCTATTCATTAATTTTCTTTTCGGCTTAGTCCCTTTATTAATTAGGGGCAGCCACAGCAAAATGAACCGCCAACTTATCCAACATATGTTTTACACTTCCAGCTGCAACCCAACACTGGGAACACACCCATACACTCTTACATTCACACACATACACTATGGCCAATTTTGCTTATTTAAATCACCTATAGCGCATGTCTTTGAACTGTGGGGGAAACAGGAGCACCTGGAGGAAACCCACACAAACATGGGGAGAACATGCAAACTCCACCCAGAAACGCCAACTAACTCACCTTAGGTTAGGAATAGCAATGTCTCTTTCGTATATGAGCCGGCTCTTAGAGCCAAACAAGAAGAGCCTACTCCTAATGAGTAGAGCCAAATCTTCAGCTGCAGGCAGTGGTGGAAAGAGGACTAAAATCATACTCAAGTAAAAGTACCATTACTTGCCCAAAAATGTAGTGTGAGTAGAGTAAAACTATCTGTTGTAGATCATACTCAAATTATAAATAAAAAGTAGACCTTTAAAAAGTACTTAAGTTGTGAGTAGTGAGTATTTCGCTGTGAAAAGCTTAAGTATTTACTTATCATTTGTGCATGTGTGTGTAAACGTAACATTCTGTAGTGCATCTTGTTATTGCTCAGAAGTAATATTAAGTTAGATTTAGTTTGTGATGTCAGGTGACCAAAAGTCTATGTCTAGCCAGTGTCTAAGGACCGTTATTTTGATGTCCAATAAAGATGTCAAATGAGGTTGAAATTTGGTTGACTTTAGGTTGTTTTGGAAAGTGACCAAAATTCAATGTCGAGCCAACATCTTAAACCAACATTAAATTGACATGAAATACTGAAATTTATTCATCAGGTATGGCAACATAAATCCAACGTCTGATTGACGTCATAGTGGTAATGTCCCCTCAATGTCAAGCTGTAACATCATTACACGTCAGGGCCGGAGTGGGACTCTTTTTCAGCCCTGGAGTTTCAAGCCTTAGACCGGCCCACCTCAGTTCACCACTGACTATCTTAAAATAAGGTCATTTCCAATTCAGTTTCTAATTACACTATCATGTCTTTTTTTTAATTTTTTTTAGAAAACAGCTGTTTTGGAACTTCAAATGTTCAACAACCCTTACAGTATTATATGTCTTAACAATAAAAATGAAAAAAAAAAAACCTTCATAGACTAGGATCGAACCCTGGTTGACTGAGTCTTGACCTAACGTGCTAACCACTGTACCACAACATCTGTACATCTATTAGTGACGAGGTTACAACAAAATAGATAACAAGAGCAGAGCTGCGGTAAAATAATAAATAAGAAGGCTGTGGTCAAGTAAATAAATAAATTATATTTAAAAAGTGTGACTGCTGAGAGCAACAGATTCTGGAGCTAGGGACACCGGCCCTCGCGGCCAAAAAACGGACCGGCCCACCGGGAATTCTCCCGGTCCTCCCGATTAGCCAATCCGGGCCTGTTACATGTTGATATTTGGTTGGTTTTAGGTTGAACGTTGGACATTGACATTGGTCTGACATTGAGTTCTGACGTCAACATGATTTTCATTTCCAAACAAAATGTAACGCCCTGACGACACTGGGTACTATGTCATTCTGGCGTCATGTTGAGGTCTTGTGCCTGCTGGGTGTTAGAGGCCATTTCGATCATTATACTGTAAACATTTGCCATCTTCTCATCAGTTACATGCATCCAAACAGTCTCTGGGTCATTGCGTGTAAAAATTTTGAACAGTTTGCTGCAATCATAAATCGCTAATGTCTTGAGGTAGTTCATTATGATGCGATTTACCTTATATGTATGATTCAATTGGACAGGAATCACAGAACTGATTTTTCTAATTAAGAAATTAAAAAGTTGTGACTGCAGGTTGAGCAAAAGTACAGAGGTAGTGGAGCAGAAGTAGTGGACCAAAAGTACTGATACAGCACTAAAAATGTACTCAAGGGAAAGTAAAAGTACACATTTTTACAACTACTTAGTAATTTACAATTTCTGAAACTACTCAATTACAGTAATTTGAGTATATGTAATTAGTTATTTTACACCACTGGCTGCAGGTGAGGGGAGGTATTTAGGGGAACACCATAAATGTGTACACCATACTAATAAACAGATCAAATGTTATCGAGTAAAATAATTGTAATCTCTTAGTGTTATTTATCAGATGGAGATGGCAAGAAAAGTTAATAGTTTTTTTTTTTTTTTTTTTAAGTCTGCATATTAGAAGTAGTAGGACTGAAGTTGTCAAATAAACCCGAAACAAACATGATTGTTGTCATTCTATGAATCTGGACAATTGTGAAAAAGCTGTGATGTGATGAAAGCTCCTGCAGTCGCACTGGAAAAAACAGCTGAGTAAGCCGGCTGGACTCAAAAGGCCAAAAAAAGTTATTTTATGAAAACACTGAATAAGAATTACTTACCAACACACAAACCATTCCCAATTGATAAGTTGGCCTAAAATAAGGGTTCAGAGTGATACCATTTGGGAGCCAAATCAAAGTTGACCCTTCTAAGGCAGTTTAGCCAAAAGAGCTGAACTTCCCATCACTGAGAATGCACAAAGACAAGGATGAATGAAGCAAAGCCTTTAATAAGACATATAAGAAAAGCCAAACATGGAGTAACAGGGCATCAACTCAAACCAGACTGGAAAAAACTAGGGCACTTGAATACACAGGGGGCAAATAAACTGAAAAGAGACACCTGTAATGAATTAATGAGTTGTCATAGAAACGGAAGAGTGGCGGGAAACAGAACAAAAGGAACACAAAACTGGTCAGACATGTGACCAGGACTGCTTATGTGCATTTAGAATGTAAAAATGTGTTCGATGGCTCAAATAAAACCAAACACACACTCACGCACACACATTAATGCTTTGAGGAGTGGGTGGTAACTCCAGATGGCACTTGGTGGAGCTTCAGTGGGGTCAGACCAGGAGTCATGAGGGTCAGCCTTCGGGCACTGCACTGTTTGTGTGAGTGTAGGCTTGCATGATTGCACATTTACCCTGTGACGGGGGAGGAGAACTAACAAGGCATCATTTGATTATGTAGCGGTGCCACTTCCTTTCCTATATATGCATATCTCACTGTACACACGTCTTCTGCTGTGTGTTTTAAAATGCAACACTACCTAGACGGGTCATGGCAGGGTTTGCGTGGTTGGAGCACAATGCACAATGCTGGATCCCATCAGACACGGCCTCATGGGTATTTCGTGTTGTTCATGAGGCACAGCATCCAGCTGTTTATCGCCAATTTAAACTCAGACACGCTTAGTGCTGTCTAAGTGTGTTTTGGGGGGTAATGGGGTGTTTCTGATTACGTATATTTGGGTTTTATGGAATGCTATGCATCGGATTGGTCCTTTGGGCCATTAAGACTGCAGTTGTGATTCCCTGAGCACAGATATCATTACATGTTCGACATAACGGAAATACAGTTATTGAGCACCAGCTGGAGAGGTGTGAGCCTGTGTGAATGAGCGCTTTCTGCGCTCTCACCTTATTGTGTGAGTTGTTTGTGATGGAGGAGCGTGTTTTAAACATTACATCTTTGTTATATTTGTATTAGTTTACAAGGTCTTCGGGTCTTAAATTCCCCTTATTAACCCATTCCGAGTTTAAGGGATAGTTTACTGTCATTCACATCATGTCATTTCATTAACCTTGTATAGTCTGCAAAATTCTTTCTCAGCATTTTGTTTTATGTAAACATCCTTTATTTATGACACAGCGAAATACAAAATAAAGAAATCAGCTTGTCTTCTAACACTTTTAATCAAAGTACATGAAAATGACCTCATCAATTACTCTCCTTCATGTGGTTTTCTGTTGAACACAAGAGAAGATAATCTGAAGGATGCTGCTTGCTTAAACCCGTCAACTTTCATAGTCAGAAGAAAGAAACAAGATGTATTTTGGTCTTTCAAGTAAATGTATCTTGATTTAGGAATCTTCAAACATTTGCACTGGTAAGCAACATTAAAATACTGAGAAAGAATAGCAAAATTTCACAGCCTGATCAAATGTAAAGTTATTTAATTGATTGACACAAAAGTTGATCGAATTTCAAGCACATTTTTCTTTAGTTAATTAATAAGTAAAGGATTTTGATACATGGATTTATTTTAAAACTTCAAAATATTGTCAATTCAACTGTATTAATTGTTTCTCTCATCTTCTTTCTTTCAGCCTGTCAGTAAATGTGTGTGCAAAGATCTCTGGGATTGGTATTCCTGATTATGTAGGTGGGTGCATACATTTTTTTGTTAATAAAACACTTTTTCTTACTTGGTCACACTTTACAATAAGGTTTCCTTTGTTAAAGTTAGTTAATGTATTTACTAACATGAACTAATTATGAATAATGCCTGCACAGCATTTATTAATCATAGTTTAACATTTATTAATTCATGTTTTCATTTTCATGCCTGTTAACATGCCCCTGTTTAGTTTACATGTTTTTTTTTTTTGTTGTATTTTCATTAACTAACGTTAACTAACAAGAATAAATACTGTAATAAATGTATTGTTCATTGTATAGCCATGTTATTAAATGCATTGTCTTACATCAACTAATAGAACATTATTATAAAGTGTTACCTTTTAATTCATCACAGCAATACGACTGCATTTTACCATATTTTGTAAGTATACATTTTTAACATCTGCATAAGCTTTTAATGAAAAGTTACTAAACCTAAAACCAAACAAAGATGCTCCAAATGAACCACATTACAAATCTGGTTTCCTCCACAGTCCAAAGACATGCGGTATAGGTGAATTGAACAAGCTAAATTAGCCGTAGTGTATGTGTGTTAATGTTGGAGTGTATGGGTGTTTCCCAGTGCTGGGTTGCAACTGGAAGGGCATCTGCTGCGTAATACATATGCTAGATAAGTTGGTGGTTCATCCCACTGTGGTGACAACAGATTAATAAAGGGACTAAGCCGAAAAGAAAATGAATGAATGAATGATGATGAATCACATTTAGAATAAGGAAAAAAATAAGTGTTTTAAAATGTTACACATTTATTTAGCTAAAAGAAATCAAAATGATAAATTGTAACAGAAGGCGACGCAGTGCTGCAGTAGGTAGTGCTGTCACCTCACAGCAGGAAGGTCTCTGGTTTGAGCCTTAGCTGGGTCAGTTGGCATTTCTATTTGGAGTTTGCATGTTCTCCCCATGTTCAGTACAGGTGAATTGGTTAAGCTAAATTGTCCTTACTGTGTGTGTTAACGAGAGTGTATGGGTATTTTCTAGTGATGGGTTGCGGCTGGAACAGCATCTGCTGTGTAAAAACATATGCTGGATAAGTTGGCGGTCCATTCCGCTGTGGCAACCCTGGATCAATAAGGGACTAAGCCGAAAATGAATGAATGAATGAAATTATGAGTATATTTATCATTTTATACATATAAAGTGTATGGTTATGTTTTAAAGTTAATTAATGATTAAAAGATCCAAATTAAGCCATTTTTGTGAAAAAAAAATGAACTAAACGATTAAAATGTAGCACAAGCAAATGTAAACAATTGACTTCATCACTCTATATACATTGTGTCCTGGTGTTTGCAAACAATAAGAAATGTTATTATATCCACTTAAGTGTGTGCAATGTGAGTGCGTTGAACATCTGTATGTAAGTGGCTTCAATAATGGCCGAAATGGAGAAGGTGCCAAACTCGTTTAAAACAACAGCCAATAAAAGCCTCTTTCCCAGCACTTCTGAATGCGGGCCTGTTTAGACTCAATGCATATGGTATTTGGAGATGACAAAGAACAGGTGTGGATGTGTGTGTGGATGTTTGTGTGTGTTTGGAAGCACTTTTTGATTGTTGTTCAGAAGCCCTGAGTCATTAACCTTAAAAACGTGCAGTTTTTATGGTCCAAAGCCTGTTTGGTCGAAGCAGAAATTGACGGAATTCGAGTCAGTAAAGGTGGAACTAACAATAGCCTGCCTGTGTTTGTGTGTTCCAGCTCTGCGGATGGAGCTACAGCTGGACTGGCTGAAGCAGCGTGGAGCAGTAAAGCGGGTCTTGTTCATGGACTCTCACCAACACCAGCGGAGCCAGCAGCTGGTTCTGGGTCAAGGGGACCGCCAGCACTGCCACAACTACTCTGTGTACCTGCGGGTGAGCATTATAGTCCACACACACACACACACACACACACACACACACACACTGCTCAGAGCAATGCTGAACTGGCCTCATTCCTCTTGAAAAATTCTTGTTTTATCTTCACTAAAACTGAACCCTTGGGAAAGTTAATTGTGAGCCAAACCAAGCTTCTAGTACAGCACAGCTCATCTGGAGGGAATGAAAACAATGTGAATAACCCCTCAGTGAGAGTGCGTCTTGAAAACGAAACCAACAGTTTTGGCGAGCCTAGGTGACATGGAAATTGCATGCATTTTAAGTGTTTTTGGGTGTTTGTGTGATAACACCAATTATTTGGCAACTCGTTTTGTTTTGTAATAACATTTCCAAACACTGCTGCGACATCTAAAGAGAAACACAAACATCTGACAACGTAACAGAAATTATATCAAATTATATTACATTATATATATGGCAGATATAAAGCACAAAAAATAATAGTAATATATAAGCATTTTTCTTCTTATAAAATGTTTCTAGTAAAAAGTTGTATAGTAATAATTATTATTATTGTTGTTATTAATATTAATTTTTTAGTATATTTTAAATGCATATTATATTATATTATATTATATTATATTATATTATATTATATTATATTAGATTAGATTAGATTAGATTAGATTAGATTCATGCAAATAATGTGTGTGTTTTAAATATTAAATATTCAAATATACATTATATTTATATTGTGATATAGCTATATATTGTATATTTAAATATTTCACAAAAAAAGAAGATGCTGAAAATGGAGTTGCTTGTCCAAATGCAGGATTTATTACACAGAAAATTGTCAGGCATGTAATGCTCACAATCAGGGGCAAACGGTAACATAAATGCAAATCCAAAAGAGTGGTCAATAATAGGCGAGTGGTTGAGTCGGGCAGCAAACAACATAAAACAAAAAAATAAAGCAATGATTGGTACACTGCAAGGCAGAACGTGTTGTAATGTTCACTTGACAGCTTACAAGATTCAGCAACGTGTGTGTTTGACAGGTGTACAAATAGTTTGTGTGATTAGTCCTGAACAGCTTCAGCTGTGTCTGTTTGCAATCATGGGGATCTAGGCCAGGTGTATGATTGAAGCGCATGATGGGACTTGTAGTGCAGTTAAATGTGAGTGTTGTCCAGCAGCCTGCAAAAACAACACTGCTGGTGATCATAACAGCTGTATTCCTGCTTTTGTGTTTACAGGCTTTTCCTACTTAAATGCGCGTTTCAGTTTAGAAACATAAACATATGTTCTCATTTTCTAAAAGCCTTGTACCTAATTAAATAATAGCATTTATAGCCCTTGACTTTCTAAGACAAGCGTGCTTATACCACAGATGTGACTTTTCTCTGTTTAATATGTGAAGGAATCTGCTATCAAAAGACAAACATCAGTAAAAGAGTGAAAATATAAAGTGAAACTAACATGAGATCTTTTTCTCTCTGTTGTTGTTTCATCCTGCTCTGTTTGTGTGTAGGATGAGGCCGAGTTCAGGGATAAACTGAGTCCTATCAGCGTGACACTGAACTACAGTCTGGACCAAAGCTCTCCTCCTGCTGGCCTACAGCTGCGGCCTGTGTTGGATCACTACAGCAAGACCTTCCACCACGAGCAGGTTCACATTCAGTGTTTATTGCTAATTATTAATAGGTATCATCAAACATCAACAGCTGATTACATCGGGTATTGCAAACATTTTCTTTTGTATTTATTTTTTTGTTTTATAATGTTTAGACATGCAAATAAGCCATATATTTGAACCACAAAAATCAGAACAATGAATAAAATATAATATATATAATTATATTGAAATAAAAATAATTACTCTGACTTTATCCAGTGTTCAGATTTCTGTGCTATATGTTGTTTATATATTAAAGGTGTGAACCTACACTGGTCTCACTGACGATTCGGTTATGATTATCATGCCATTGGTTTAGTTAAATTCAATATCTCGGTGCATCACAGTGCATTGACGATGTTTTTCATACAAAGTTTTTATATTTTACTTCACAGCACAGCGATTCTTGCATTCAAATTTATAAATGTATTTCAATATTATTTGTAATACAATTTTGACCTTTAATACAAACAGTCAGAAATATAAACTGTACCTTTAAAAACATGCACAGAACAACATGAGCATTTATAGCAAATTAACTAATATAAATATCCCCTTTGATTGGTCATACGCTCAACAGAAAGGGCTGTGATTGGCTCTGATCTGGCGCTGTTCACCAATGAGAATGACACTAATAAACGGCAGCAGCGATCACAGCTGATCCATGATAGACACGGAGGAGAAAACTCGCTCTGCAGACACGCTTGTGTCTGTATCCAGAAGTATCTCTGTAACATCCGTGAGGAGAGGAAAAGATTTCTAATGTCAGCAGGTCAAATGTCCACAGTGAGAAAGAGAGAGAGAGAGAGAGAGAGAGAGAGAGAGAGAGAGAGAGAGAAATGGAGTTCACTTTAATTTTCTCCACAGCAGTAAAAGAGGGGCTTCTTCTGTAACTTCAGTGTCAGTGAAAAACTGTCCAGCAAACACACACACACAGTGAATTGTGCGAGTTTCTGCACTTTTAAGTAGTTGGAGTGTTTTAATTACTCACATCCGCCTCCCTCGCAATAGTAAGCTACCGCAATATAGCGCATATGAGATAAATGAAGTCAGTACATAATAACTGGTTATAGTCTATTACTCAACCGATACCAAAATGTCTGCATCTTCATCGCACAGAAGAAACAACTAATTTTGACACCCCTAATATATATATTACATATAATCCATATAATAAGCCTCCAGAACAAAATTAAAACTATCAGAAAAGGTCGACTTTCTGAGGCAAAGACACAGAATTTGATGACAATTGCCTCTGCATCAGTCTCCCTTGATGCGCTTGATTACGCACAGGCAAACACCCAGTTCAGGTTGACGCAGGAGGAAGATATAAGTTAAGGCAGATAGGAGTTTTTGTTTGTTTGTCAAATAAATAATTGAAAAATTTAGTCTGTATGCTTGTCGTGCAAGTTCATTATTAAAATATAAATGAAAACAGGGATTAGAAAATATGCTAATTATATGTCAGTCAATAACAGGTATGACAGAATTTTTACAACCCTCTCCGTCAAAATGACGTACAATGAGAAAGTGTGTCGCGATATATATATAAACTTATTACATAAATGACTAATTACATACATAGTTTTAGAAATAACTGTACATATTACATAAATAACTGTAAATAACTAATTTACTTTTTTTTTTTTTTTTTTATTAAACATTGTGTACAGGGTCCCATGGGTTTATATTAGAAGGTCTAATTCAGACATTGAAAGTCAAGGAATTTCATATATTTTTGTCCAAGTCATAGAATATCACAAATAGATTTTTGTTTGCATCTTTTTTTAGCACATTGTTTCATGTTTTATTGTTATGGTCAAGCTATTTTTCACTGCCATTTACAGGTTTCTTTTCCTTTTGTCAACTAGCAAATGCAGTCACCAGGCTGCACCTGTTAAAATACTGTTTGCAGCTGTATGTGCTCAACCAGTTGTGACTAGATTTTGCATGGGAAAAAATAAGATTATTGCAGCCTAAATGATTTAGCGAAGACTTTTCTAAAAATATATGATAATATTTGTGGCAATTCTTTGTGTTTTGCTGTTTCATTACTTTTTGACCACAATAACCAATGTTTTCTAAATTTATGAGCACTTTTCATGCATGAATTTAGTAGATGTTCCATAAATGATATTTTAAAAAAAACAATACAGATGTCGCAGAAGAAATGTGAACAATAAAATCACAATTTTGCTTTATTTAGCGATCCCAGAATCACACAATTCTGCAGGGACTGCTCAACACAACATCTGCATGTTGTTCTGTTCATTACGGGTCATGTAAATTCTGCTTTTTAGTCAGGGAAGGTCGGGGAAAAGTCAGAGAGTTCGACATGTGGCTTAATATATATATATATATATATATATATATATATATATATATATATATATATATATATATATATATATATATATATATATATATATATATATATATGAGGCATATTATATGTGAACAAATCCCTCAGTGGAAACCATCAGAATGTAGATATGTAGAAAACTGTCAGGTTTGGTGCTACTAAAGTGGAGAAAATGGCCTTATGCATTGAAATTGTAATGTACAACCACAAATTGATAATGTGACAAAAGTATCACTTAAAATGCTTTCCTGACATTAGACTTCATGAAAAAACACTGTGAAAATCTCAAAATCGACAGGTGCATGTGCTTTTATTCTTACAGTGTCTCACCTGAGGTATAAAAAAAACATACAGTATGTTAAATTCCTTGAACAAGCATAAAAAACAGAAAGAGAAAATCTATTTTTCCATTCCTCTTAGGCAAACATCCTGTTGGACTGTGGAGAAGACAACATGTGCATCCCAGATCTCAAACTCTCTGCTAAAATGTGAGTCTGAGAGTCTGTTGTGTTCATATATGTGCCACTGAGCATTGTTTACATACTTGTTGTAATTTATGTCCTGTGTTGTATCATGCATCCTTTGTTTATGTTTTAACCACATGCTGTTCTCTCATCTGTATCTAAACGTCAAGTGATTTTAAATACAGCTTTCCTTATGTTTCTGTATAGGGACCGGACTGAGCTTATAATCGGGGATGACAACTTGCTGATGTTGACTATTAATGCAGCCAATGAGGGTGAGGGGGCGTATGAGGCGGAGCTTCACGTGACCCTCCCACCAGAGGCAGATTATATAGGTGTGGAGCGTAGGCGTGAGGTAAACAACTACACTCTGTCCTTATTTACATGTATGTGTGTCTTGCCATCACTGTGTTTTGCAGATATGTTTGCAGATGTGGCTCTGGGTGGGCGAAGTTAATAAATAGTCAGTGAAATTTTTTTGCATGATGTCTTTCATTTATAGTGAATCTGATTGTGAGAGGTTTATTTTAGTCTCAGACTTGATCACTGCTGTGTTTAGAATAGATTGTGACTCACTCACTGGATCCTCTATCCAGGAAAACTGATTATGCAGAAGTTTATTTTGCTGAACTGGTTTACCCTTTAGTTTATACATTGTATATAAACACTGCACATGTGTTAAATATAGTTATTAGAAGCTAGATCTGTCGGTCTGTCTATCTATTGTTCTATCATTTGATCTATCGCTCTATCATTCTATTGCTCTATCTGTCGTCCTATTAATCAGTCTATCATTCTATTGTTCTATTAATCATTCTATCTGTCTATCATTCCATCAATGTATTATTCTATGAATTAGATACATAATTCATAGAAAAATACATTGATGGAATGATAGACAATCTGTCTGTCTGTCTGTCTGTCTGTCTGTCTGTCTGTCTGTCTGTCTGTCTGTCTAATCTATCTATCTATCTATCTATCTATCTATCTATCTATCTATCTATCTATCTATCTATCTATCTATCTATCTATCTATCTATCTATCTATCTATCTATCTATCTATCTATCTATCTATCTATCTATCTATCTATCTATCTATCTATCTCTGTCATCTGTCTGTCTGTCTGTCTGTCTGTCTGTCTGTCTGTCTGTCTGTCTGTCTGTCTGTCTAATCTGTGAGTCTATCTATCTATCTATCTATCTATCTATCTATCTATCTATCTATCTATCTATCTATCTATCTATCTATCTATCTATCTATCTATCTATCTATCTATCTATCTATCTATCTATCTATCTATCTCTGTCATCTGTCTGTCTGTTTGTCTGTCTGTCTGTCCCTCTGTCCGTCCATCTGTCCGTTCGTCTGTCTAACTGTCTGTCTGTCTAATCTGTCTAATCTGTCTATCTATCTGTCTGTCTGTCTGTCTGTCTGTCTGTCTGTCCGTCCGTCCGTCCGTCCGTCCGTCCGTCCGTCCGTCCGTCCGTCCGTCCGTCCGTCCGTCCGTCCGTCCGTCCGTTCGTTCATCTAACTGTCTGTCTGTCTGTCTGTCCGTCTGTCTGTCTATATGTATGTCTGTCTGTCCATTCGTCTGTCTAACTGTCTGCCTGTCTGTCTGTTTGTCTGTCTGTCTGTCTGTCTAATCTTTCTGTCTTTCTGTCTTTCTGTCTATCTAACTAATTTCTAATATCTATTTTGGTTGTTTTGTCTATACTTCTATCAGTGTATAGTGTTGTATGTGTTGTTCCATCCATCTCTCTGTCATCTTTTCGGTGTATGGTTCTTTCCATCTCTCCTGTTTGCATGCACATCTACAATACATGAATAGTTCTTAAAATTTTATGACATTTCTCTGGGTTTTGACATAGTTTAAATGTAAGCTCAGCTCTTGTGAAATATCAGATGTACTAAACAGCTTTAAATCCGTGCGTGATGAAATGCTAAATCTGTAATCCACTCTGATACAGAGTTGAAAACACAAACATGAGCGCCGCCATGGCTTTGATGTAGTAATGAAGCAGGAATGCAGTGAATGTTGATCTAATTATGCCTGAAGTTTTTTATTAAACACTCAAAAAAAAACAAGTTTCATGTCTCTGTAACGCATGCTCAAGCATTGATTTATTCTTATACAGTTCTATGGAACTAGATTTGTGGCGATACAAAAATTAACATAAATTAATTAAAAACAAACGACTGTAACTTTTGCAGAAACCATCAAAATACACGAATGAAGAAAATAATAATAAAAAAGTAACATGCTCTTTCGATATGTTTCAATTATCAAAGGTTTATGTTCATTTATATTTACAATTCTTTGCAAATTTGCATTTTCTTTACTGGTGCAAGCCTATTGGACAGATATACCATCAGCCTGCTCTGATTTGCCACTTCTACAGTACAAGGACTTATCTTCATTCATATCTTCTCCTGTCATTGGGTCACTCCATCATCTCTGCAAACACACTGGCGCGTTGTGGCACAGACCGCAAACTATCAGATCGCACTCTGTCTGTCAGTTATGAGTTTAACAGATGCAGTGAATAGCTGGTAATTGCAGTGCATGTTTGAGAGTGGCTCTTAATGCAATTTGCACAAGTGCATTAGTCGCTCTTCTGGGAACCGACTGGTTACGGTTTGACTCTGTTTTGGGGAGAGGAAGTGGTTGCAAAGGAGGGAGATGAAGGAAAAGAGAGACTGATGTAGGGGGTAGAGGAGTTGACAGGGCGAGGGCCTCAGTGATGTATGGCGCGATTACTATCAGAGAATTCATCATGTTCTTTCTCTCCTTCATTTCCTTTTGTCCGTCCCTCCCTTAAATCCTCCAGAGGCTTGTTTTCACTGGGTTATGTTAGTTGTTGACAGGGTTTATTGTTTTTGTTATTAGGTTTTGTTTTCAATGATGTTATGCACCTGTATTATTAATTTTTTGTTAAGTTTTTTTTATTTTATATATGTTTTATTTCTTTCATTTTGTTGTTAATTATATTTTTAAATGCATTTTTTATCTTCTGTTATGATAACTTTTGATTATTCAAATAAATTTGATTTATTTGTTTAAATTAATTTTATTAAATATATCTAAATTGAATGGGATAATATTAGTTTTTACACCAAATTCATTCATTCATTTTCTTGTCGGCTTAGTCCCTTTATTAATCCAGGGTCGCCACAGTGGAATAAACCACCAACTTATCCCGCATGTTTTTAAGCAGCGGATGCCCTTCCAGCCGCAACCCATCTCTGGGAAATACACCAAATTTATAAAATAAAAATGCTATTTTATTTATTTTAGCGTTTTCTTTTTGTTTTATTTTTAATTAAATACAATATTTGTTATTATGGAAGCAAACTTGACTATTTTATTTAGTTACATTTTTTATTTATTTTTTCTCATAATCTGTCTATTTTTTAATTACAAGCTTATTTTTATTTTTTATTATATGTATTTGTATGTATATATATGTATGTATATATATATATATATATATATATATATATATATATATATATATATATATATATATATATATATATATATATATGTGTGTGTGTGTGTGTGTGTGTGTATGTATATCTATATCTCATCACATTATATTGTTTTTTTATGGCCCTTTTATGTAAAACACTATTAAAAATGCAATTGTGTATAAGATGTTCTATTTAAATACGTTTTATCCATAATTTTGTTTTATTATCTGGGTGTATTTATTTTTATTTAATTACTTTTATTTTAAAAGTAATAAAGGCATGTGTAAATGTAAATGAAAGAATTAATAATGTAAACTTTTATAGCCAGTCAAAAATATTGGCCTGTGTTTGATTTGTATGCAAGAACATCTTCTCTTTTTTGTCTGCAGATCATATGATAAATATTTTAAAATGTAATATAAACATATAATATTTCAACTTGTTTTAAGGATTATCTTAAATATGCATGCAATATAACTGTTAATACATTTCAGCATTACTTTGATATTAATTAAATACTGAGCAGGGCACACGAATGGAAATAAAGCGTTATTTAAGGCAGGGCAAGGCAAGGCAAGTTTATTTATATAGCACATTTCATACACAGTGGCAATTCAAAGTGCTTAACATAAACAGGAATAAAAGAGACTAGTATAAAAAATAAAAACAAATAAGAAAAGTAATCAAAAACAGATTAAAACAGGTTTTAAGAGATTGAAAACAAAAAAGACTTAGGGCTCTATTTTGACTGTCTATTTGCAAAGCGAAAAGCACAGGGCGCAAATGCATTCAGGGCATGTCAGAATCCACTTTTGCTATTTTAAGGAGGGGAAAATCCGCTTTGCACCGGGGCGCATGGTCTAAAAGGGTTGAGTTTATTTTCTTAATGAGTTATAGGTGTGTTTTGAGAATAAACCAAGTCACATCCCCTATTCCCTCTAAGAGCCTGTTGCGTCGCATCATAAGCGAGTTTGCTATTTACATGACGTAAAGTAATGCGTGAGTGAAAAAACTGAGCATTTCACTAGCAAGAAAACAGTTAAACAGAGTATCTGCAGCACGAGAATGAGAGATAAGGCATTTCATAATTCACTTTCACTCTCGTGGATAGGGAAACCTTGTACGCACAGACATCAATTAGCCTATAAAAAATCCATTTCGTTTGTTAAGCGCAAAGATTTGTTTCAAAACTATTTCTAAATTCAGTTCTAATTTCCAGCAAACGAATAAATAAACAATAATAACGAAGTGTGGTCAAAAACCTGAGTTATATCCTAATACACATGCTGGGCTCCATATGGTCTAAAACCTGCAGGTGGACAAATCTAAGCTTGTTTTTAATAAAACAAATATAAATATGGATATGATAAATCATAGTTCTAATAATAATAATAACATTATACAAAAGCAAATTGAATGAACTGAAAAAGCCTCCTGAGATGAAGAAGGATTCAAGGCAGTGGTTTTTAAATTTATGTAGGCTAGAAAATAATATGTTTTGTAATATTTTAATTCTTTACATTTCTATCCTTTATATATTCTTATTATATCCTATATATTTATCCTTAATATTTTAATTATTTTTCATGTGTAAAGATATTTGCGTATTGCTCTAAAAATTGCTCTGAAACTAGCAAATAACTATTGCATCGCGCCTTGCGCCACATTGCGCCGGGTGTATGATAGGGCCCATAATACTGTGATCTGTCAGATGAAGCACAGTGCTCATTCAGTAAAGGCACAGCTAAACAGATGTGTTTTCAGTCTTGATTTAAACTTGCCTTATGTTGGAGCACATCTGATTATTTCTGGAAGCTGATTACAGTAGATGCTTATAGCAGATGCTAAAACAAGAATGATGGACTGACATATCTCTCTTTCTCTGTCAGGATCTTCAGCGGCTGAACTGTGAACACAGGACGGAGAATGACACCAGGATTGTGGTGTGTGATCTGGGGAACCCAATGGTTGCTGATACAAATGTAAGAGCCATGTCATACAAACACCACTGAGTTCAGATATAAAAAAAACCTAAAGGAATGAAAGTAACAGGAGTTTGATTGACCAATGCTTTGAAAATGTGTGCAACATTCCTACATTATGGACATACATAATGTACTTTACTGCATTACAGTGACGGTAACAAACCTCAGTATAGGTACTCAAGTGACTGATAGAGTTTCTTCTAAATGTCTGAAACCAGATGTGTTATTATTCACATAGAAACTATAAACCTTTCAACAGCCTAACTGCGTGTAAGTAAGAGCAATAGCAAAGGAATTACTTTTCTTGTACAACCACTATGACAAAAGATCATGTAGAAGGAAAATACGTGCAGCATATTCTTCACATTGGCTTCTGCAACATATAAATTTGCCTTGTGTTGAGTTTGTACTGTTGTGTGATTGCATGTTTTACTCTAGCATGTTGTGAGAGCTTGAATCCTTCAGTGTGTTAAGCAGGACAGACAGAAGAGGATTTCAGGAGGGTGACAAAATGTAGGACAGCATGTCAGTTTACTGAGATCTCAGTTCCTACATGAGACACCTGCAGATGCATCATAAACACTCACTCATATACTTTTGTAATTGTTTTTTGAGCACTCAAAACAGTCTTCGCTGCACCCTGCAGCTTGATGACGTACTGGAACAGATCCACTACGCAATGGACAATTGCCTACACCTCCCCCTACCCTAAACCCAACCATCACAGGAGCATGGGTGTTACCTTAGTGGGCGATACAAATGTTCACTATGTTCACTAACATCTGTCTTGAGTGCTCGCAAAACAATTACAAAAGTATATGAGTGCATGTGTATGATGCATCTGCAGGTGTCTCATGTAGGAACTGAGATCTGAGTAAACTGACAGCATTGCTAAATATCAAGCTATTAAATGACTGAGTATGACTGAAATGACTTGCCTTAAAGGGACTATGTTATACCTGAATGCACACAGACTCATGGGGACTTGTGTCACCCCAGGGACTTAAATTGAGATCCTCATGAGTAAATCTGCTCATACATCATACATTTTGAAAATGTAAAACTGCAGAATGTTTCTCTGTGGGTTTGGAGGAAAAGTAGAGGGATAGAATTTGCAGTCTGTCCAGTATAAAAATCAGAAATATTAGCCCCCTTGTTTATTTTTCCCCCAATTTCTGTTTAACAGAGAGATTTCTTCAACACATTTCTAAACATAATAGTTTTAATAACTCATCTCTAATAACTGATTTATTTTATCTTTGCCATGATGACAGTAAATAATTTTTGACTAGATATTTTTCAAGACACTTCTATACAGCTTAAAGTGACATTTAAGGGCTTAACTAGGTTAATTAGGTTAACTAGGCAGGTTAGGGCAATTAGGCAAGTTATTGTATAATGATGTTTTGTTCTGTAGACTATCGTAAAAAATATAACTAAAAGGGGCTAATAATTTTGACCTTAAAATGTTTTAAAAAAAAATTTAAAACTGCTTTTATTCTAGCCAAAATAAAACAAATGAGACTTTCTCCAGAAGAAAAAATATTATCAGACATACTGTAAAAAAAAAAAAAAAAATCCTTGCTCTGTTAAGCATCTTTAACATAAATATTAAAAAAAATCAAAGGGGGCTAATAATAAACTGTATGTAAAGTCCTCACAAGGATAGCTAACCAGACAAACTTGTCTGTGCATGTGTGTACTCGCGTCCTCACTAATCCAGATGTTTTGGGACTGCTTGCTTACTGGCCCCACGGACTCTTGGGAATGTGGCTGTTGTACAGATGTGTTCATTCATGTGCCATTAAGGACACATATACTACACCCCGCTGGTGTGTCTGTGTGTGTGTGTTCACTGAAGAGAAACACGCAGCCCTTACATATTTTTTCTTACCTTGATTTTCTCTTGAGCGTTTCTCTGTCAGGTTGATGTTGAACATTGTTAATGAGAGCCTGGAAAACAAAACAGCGGGTAGAGAGAAAAAGTAGGATGATGGAGTGTGTGTGTGAAGGGAGGCTGTAAACACATTGGGACAGAGTTTGAGGTTCAGTCTAAACATGCTCTCCATCTATTTACTAATCACCATGACAACCCGTCTCCAGCCATCCCAAATATCTCGGCCTGGGGTGCAATTAGAAGAGTTGCAAAACTTGAGCCATCATGACACACGCTCAACACAACATCCCGGCCTGCATCATTCATCAATATATATAACTGAAGACAAAATTATTCATTCATTCATTTTCTTTTCAGCTTAGTCCCTTTATTAATCTGGGGTCACCATAGCGGAATGAACTACCAAATTTGTACAGCATATGTTTTATGCCCTTCCAGCTGCAACCCATCACTGTGAAACACACATACAAGACAAAATTATTTGATTTATATTTAAGTTCTTTTTTTTATATTTTCCAAATGATCTTTACCAGAGAGGCAATTTTTAAACATAATAGTTTAAATTACTAATTTTTATAGCCTCGCTGGTTCGAGTCCCTGCTGGGCATTTCTGTGTGCATTTAGCTTGTTCTTTCTGTGTTCGCGTGGGTTTCCTCCTGGTGTTTTATTTCCCCTAATCCAAAATAAAACAGGTAAATTGGGTATACAAAAATAGCTGTAGTGTTTTAGTGCTTCTATTAATGTGAAAGTGTATGAGTGTTTTTAAGTATTTGGTTGTGGCTGGAAGAGCATCCGCTGAAATTTAAAAACATCATTTAACAACAGTCATTTGTTCTTGTGCCAATTAAAAAAAAAACTCTCAAGGGCGCAAATAGTATTGACTTTTAATTGTTTTATTATTATTGTTATTATTATTATTATTATTATTATTATTATTATTATAGCCAAACTAAAGGATATAAGATGATTATAAAAGGAAATCTTGTCGAATTAGTTAAAAAAAAAAAAAACGTTTTACTTTGCTCTGTTAAACATCACTTTAAAAAAAAAATTCCTAAGAATTCTACTTATTTTGTCTTCAACTGTGTACAGTGTACATACACATACACTCTAAAACGTACAGGGATCCTGGGTCTGACTAAATCATCTGTGTATTAAAAGAATAGTTCACACAGAAATGAAAAAAAAGAAATTTTTAATTTATGTACCTTCAGGCAATTCAACATGAAGGTGAAGTTTTTGCCCTTTTGAATCCTCTGTAAAATGCAAGTCAACAGCTGTTGGCACTTAGAGACTCGAAACTATGCAAAAACACAGTTAATACCTGTGGCTTCTCATGATATGTTGAGGTCTTGTTAAGAGAAACAATTAGTCTGTGCAAGAAACTAACATTATAACTTTATTGCACGGCCTCAGCAAATGACCTGAGCTTATTCATGACAGTCTAGAATGTTCATAATGACATACAGTACTCAACAATTTTAGTGGATTAGAAACTTGTCAACCAAAACGTTGTCCTAAAACTATACAACAATTCCCGTTCTTGACTTGTCAATTTTGAAAAACTATTTTAACCCACTTCAAATGTTGACTACTGTATATCACTCATTGTGCATCTGTGGAAAGTCAATCTTCCCAATTGCATACAAAATATTACTCACGGAAAGAAATAGAGCAAATATATTTACTCAAAGCTTTTGGTTACTGAATGAGGAAGGCTAGAGTTTGTGAAAATGACCCTGCCCACTCATTTACATTAAACAACATACAGATACTTATTTGTTGTAAAAATTCGGTTAAACATACAGTTGAATTCAAAATGATTAACCCACTGATTTTTTTTTCTTTTTCAAATATTTTCCAACGTATGTTTAACACAGCAAAGACTTTTTCACAGTAGTTCCTATAATATTTTTTCTTCTGGAGAAAGTCTTAATTGTTTTATTTTGGCTTGAAAAAAGCAGTTTAAAAAAATGTTATAATATTCAATATCAATATTATTAGCCCCTTTGAGCTATTTTTTTTTTTCTCAATTGTCTGCAGAACAACTTTTATGTTTAGAAATGTGTTGAAAAAAATCTTCTTTCTGTTAAACAGAAATTAGGCAAAAAATGGAGGTGGGGGTGTTGCTAATAATTCACGATGGCTAATAATTCTGACTTTACCTGTATTACACTCAATATGCATGGTTACTACAGTTAAACTTTATTTCTGTATTTTGCTACTCGGGTTGTCACAATACTGGAATTCGGTACCAACTGAAAACTCACCGCTGTTTACTGAGTGTAAACACAGGTACAGGAACACTGGAGCATTTTAAAGCCACGATTCATCAGTGGACAACTTATATGTCAGACCAGTCAATCACATATTTTTGAAGTTAATGGCGGGACATGCTCTGTCAGGCATCAGGCCAGATCCAGTGTAGGTGATTTAATCTAGATATATAGAGAGCAAACACGAATGAACATTAGAAGGTATGTTGAAAAAAAGCCAGTACTGTATTCCATTCTGGAATCTAGTCACCCTTGAGTGCCTGCCAAATGAAGAATACTTGGGACTTAATTTGCGAACTCTCTCTTTTTCTCTGTACCTCTTTGTCCATCTCAATTTCTCTCTCCATCAGTTTTCCATTTCCTCAAAGTCCTCAGGGTGAGTTGCTCATTAGGTTGACTCTACTTCAGTCCTGTTTAAATCTAACTGAGCATTTCTCTTTCATTAAAATACAAAAAAATCAAAGCAAGGAAGATTTTGCATCATTATCCCAAACTGATATATTGAGAAACATTGTGATCTGGACAGCTTAAGCTTTTGGAACATAATGTAACATAAGCTAAAACAACACAATTCTTGACATTTCATTGGGACAACTTAATTTTTTTATGTTTAATCCACATAAATTTGTTAAAAGTGTGAAGTTAACAATTTGTTTTGGGATAAATAAATTGTGTGGAATGCTGCATTTTTTACAGTGTGGTGGCTCAGTGGTTAGCACTGTCACCTCACAGCAAGAAGGTTGCTGGTTCGAGTGCCAGCTGGGCCAGTTGGCGTTTTTTTGTGTGGAGTTTGTGTGTTCTCCCCGTGTTCGCATGGATTTCCT